TTCTTTATATTCATATATATATATATATATATACATTGAGGCTGGAAAAGGTTTAGAAGTTCTTAATTTTTGCCTGCAGCCTCATGTGCTGCCAATTATTCAGGTTTAACTGCTATTTTCTTAACTCATCATGGTTTTGAATACTGTTAGAAATTAGCCGTTTAAATTCAGCAAAATTTACAAGGCAAGAAATGGGTTTTCGAAACATGCAAAGCAGATGTAAATATTGGGGAATCCTGAAAATCTACATTTCTTTTTAATGTCATTAGAATACGGAATCAATTCCTGACAGTTCAAACTTCAAATCTAACCCTCTATCAGAAGTAAACAAAAAAAAAAAGAAAATAGCAGCATCTGTGGGTTTCAGAAATGTTTTTTTACTTAACTTAAATGCAGCATTGGAGTCTCATCATCTAATTGTTTTCACAGCCAGATGTACCTTGTTTGAACTGAAGGGACTGGACAAAATATGTGTCCCTTCAATACCAGGTTCTTCATCTCATCTAGAAGAAAGAAACATATTCCTACATCTCACACCACCATATTTCCTAACCTAAAGGATTGCTAGTTTAGAGAGTTTGTTTTCCATCATTTCCATACTAATATCATCTTTGTCACATCTGGCATGAGCAGCTTCCTCCACATGTTTAATGGTTCCTAAGTGGCTTCGGGCAAATAGCAATTCTTATGGCTTTTCTCCTCACTTTTTTTTTAATTTTTTTATATAGTCCAATATGTGCAGTGCTCTGCCACTAGGTGTCACCTCAACAAATTCTCTCACCCTTGGCTGGATGTTTCTGGCTCCTCCACAAACAATTACAATGAGCCTTTTTGGTCCCTTCCATTCATGCCAGTTTAAGTCACTTTACACATTTTGCTAGGTTTTGGAGTATTATTTACTTTTTTTCTGCTTCACAGTTTGTTCTTTGATCTGTCTTCTTTATCTTCATGGTGCTCTGAGGTTATTTATGTTCTTTTACTAACCTCTAAGACCTTGACAGAACAGCTGAATTTATGCAGGGATAAAATTAGACCATGACCAGAGCTAAGACTCCTACTTTTCCTTAACATGTGCCTGAAAGGACCTGAAGATGTCTGCTGTAGCTGCTCCCATGATCAAGTGCTTGAACAACTGGCAGAAATACTAATTGAACTAATCTGACTGTATGATCTGGTTGAATTGTCTCTGTAGTAGCGTACCTTGAGATGAGATGAGTTGTGAATTGACGCTATATATATATATATATATATATATATATATATATATATATATGTATATGTATATGTATATGTATATGTATATGTATATATATGTATATATATATATACATACATATCCATCCATCCATTTTTTATCACGCTTTATCGAAACTTGGGTCGCAAGGAGTACTGGTGCCAGCTGTCAAGGGGCGGAAGGTGGGGTACACACTCCAAGGCCTTAACAGAACAGCTGAATTTATGCAGGGATAAAATTAGACCATGAACTACCAAATCTTTACACATCACACAGGTCGCCAGTCTATCGCAGGGAAACACAGAGACAAACAGGACAAACAACCATTCACACACTCACACCTAATGAGAATTTAGAGAAGCCAATTCACCTCAAATTTAGGACTGTGGGAGTACCCGGAGAGAACCCACGCATGCACAGGGAGAACATGCAAACTTCATGCAGAAAGACCCTGGACCTGGAATCCAAATTGGAACCTTCCTACCAACAGTGCTACTAACTGCTCCAATGTGCAGCCTGGCACTATATTAATTAACTGAATTAAATAAGTTGCTGCTAGGGACTGATCAGAACTGGTCGGATCGCCTGGGGGAGGGCATGAAAGTTTCAATAGACCTATAACACTAAATAAACCTCAGGGAACACCACTGTTGGTAGGTTCTGATCTGTTTTCCCAATTCACATGGCTTATTTTCCCCACAACTGTTCACTCTTTATTCCGCTGAAGCATGTCACATTAAATCTTGATAAAGTTAATTAAAATTGGGACAAATTGCGCAAAAAATGTAGGCTCTTTATTTTAAAGTTGGAACCATTTTAATAAAATATTCTCACTAATTACAACAAGGACAAAATATGAATATATTTTTGATAAAGTAAGTCTTGTATTGGTCTTGTTTTCAACTTCTAATAATTGATGTGACTTTAGAATTGCATAGTGCATTTTTAAGACATGAACAATGATATGTGGACAGAATATTAAAAATAAAATAAAATAAAGTCTAATTCTAATCTTGACTTACTATGAATGTCTTTGCAAATTTGGGCATTCATTCATACAAAGGGTCTTACTTTGCATTTTACCTCTTCTTGCAAATATGAGCCTCTAGGTGGCAATAGAGAAAAGGAGTTGAAAACCAGTTTGCATGTCTATGAAACTAACCAAACATCCTGAGACCCCATCAGCTGCCGTTACTTTGATCCCCCTATTTGGGTTGTTTTCGTAATGATTTTTTGGATTTTGTAGTTTTGAGCTGTAAAGTGTAGGTAATCTATGAAATAGGGGGCAATACTTTAACCAATCCCACATATACTAGTCTTGTGTTGAAGCAGCGCAGCTTATGAGTAAAAAAAAACAGCAGAAATGTAGATACAATTTTTTTAATCTGTTTTCAAAAGCTTCTGGGCACTGCAAACTGATTTTACTCATTGTTCCAAAATATTTGAGGATCAGTCAGTGAATTTTGAGAGAATCTGTCAGAAGGTGGAGTTGGGTCAGGCCAATAAATGTGGACAAACCTAATAGATAAGTGAGACAGAGGGAGGCAGGCACTCACACATACAGTGAGAGAAAGGGGAAACAGAGGAGGGGAGGAAACTATTTACTTTTGTTTTTTTTCCACAACTTGACATGGGATTTCATAAATTCTTCACTGGAGTCTGAACCAGAGAGGTTTGCTCAAACTGTAAGGAAGGAACCAAAGGAAAGATGAAGGACTTGATGCAATCAGTAGAATTAGGGGTATCCCAGCGGAGTCAAGTGGAAATAAAGCGACCCAAAGTTTGGCTGAGGAGTGAACTGTCACGAGTGGGACTTGCTGAATTTCTTTCAACATATGTCATGATGGTAAGAATGGATGTATATTAAAAAATACTGTATATACTATATATTAGACAGCACTCAGTTCTTTTTTCTCAAAATTTAAAATTAGGTGCTTATGTATGACAACCATATTCCATTAATCATTAATACTATGCTCTTTACCCTGATAACCTGCTCAAACTCTCCAATACACACAAACAAGCAAGTTTGTCACGTGTCACATGGAAGTGAGCGGGGATTGGTGAGGGAACAAGGAAATGCTGTGTCACAAGAGCAATGGTCAGGCTGCCGGCCCCAAGGATAGAGTTTCAAAAGGCACGCTATCTGTCCGAGGTTACACTGACTCATTACCTAGAGCACTGGGAAAAATTAGATGGACCTATCAGTACAGAAACAAAACATCCCAATAAGGAGGGATTTGGTACAGATAATGACATTTTGAATAAAGGCAACGACACCTTTGACCTACATAACCATCATTTTTAAAATCAGCATCTAGCTTCCACCGTTTCCTGCTGTTTGTCAGTGTCAGCTGTTTTTTCTTTGAACAGGATGTTTTACAGAGTTCAAAAGAGTTCAGTGATTAATAATTTAATTACGAAGATGACTTTATGCTTTCAAAATGTAAAATGTAAAAGAAAAAAAAAAACATCTTATAAGCTAATGAAATAAAATGACCAGCATATTTTGGCTGTTTTTATTTACTAGTTTCTTTAAACCATCTTTGAATTGAGACAGTGCCATTTTATCCCTTCTAATTTCTATTTTGGACCCTTTAAGAAAAACAAATAAAGAAATAAATGAAATACATTTTTGTTATGAAACTATTAAATGTCAGTTTTATTAAGTATTTAAAAAGATGCTGCTGGTAGATCTTATTTATTAGTTATCAGAGAACCTTAATTATGATGGATGAATGAAGCCAAACACAATACAGGAGACCAAACTGCTAATATAAAAAACACCAAAGATTTAAAATGAATTGAGCTTAGCTAATTTTTTTTAAAGATTTAACAGAAGGTTTCCAGTACAAGTTTTTCCCTGTATCCCTATTTATTAATTTAATGCTGATTAGTTGTGTTATCCCTGACATTTACAGCAGGAGTGCCTGGGGATGATTTGCAAAAATTTTTTCTTAATTGGGCCACCAAGTTTATATATTTATTCATATAAACTTTCTTATGTCTGCTAATTACCCCTACCATTTAAATATATATATTTGGGATACATTTTATGCAATGTTCATTTGATAAAAACTGCTGCAACCATCCCTATCTGTGGGACGGGTGCAACAACTATCAGGAACAGATGCAACATTCATTCAATTTCACAAATCAGTTCTTTTTTTTTTGTCTCAATGAGCATAAAATCCTGAGAATTTGCACTGGTTATTAACCATAATTAATAATGCACTGCAGCCTTGGGTTCTCTGAAAAGTAAACAACCATGGATACTGTGTCTCAAAGCTAAACAATTGTATTTTTAAACAGCAGACACAATTTATTGTGATATTTTTGAATTGCTAAAATATGGTTTTGAAATGAAAAAACAAACAAACAAACAAAAACGTTTTAAAAACTGATTTTTAGACCAGACATCTTATCAAACTGTTCTCAAAAAGAAGTCTTTTTTTTCTTTCCCACAGATATTCAAATGATAATAATTTAACAACCCCCTACCTCCCCCACCAGACAGATTCATAGTTTTGGAACGTATAAAAATCCCCTCCAGCTCTGCAGGCTCTATGGGCCTATGACCTGCACATCCAGCACTGTGGCCACACTTCCCTTTGTGTGGCTTTCAAGCTTGGGGAAAGTCCTCAAGCTATCAGCCATGAGAGAACACCATGTGCTCGGTAGATTTGAGCACATGCTAACCATGTGACTTTGAGGTAAATGAAATAATTGATCAATGATTCTGTCAAAAGCTAAGAACGTAGGACCCAGAATTCAAGCAGACAGATCAGAGTGCTTAAAAAGCAAGCATTTATTAAATGCTCTGTGTACAGCGGCTCGTCAGCTGGAGCAGGGTCACTGGATACTCTGTAGTAGTAGAAACTCAGGTTAGTGACTTCAAAACTCAGACTGGAGACGATAATGAGCATGAAAAACACTAACTTGGTTAAAGTTCAGTCTCAGAAGAAGAAGGAGTGGAGTCCGTAGGGATTGTTGCCCCCAGAGTTTTAGGAGAGAAGCAGAGCATACCGACAAGCCAGCAGATGCGGAAGAGCAGAAGAATCCGGAAGGATTAATTCAAAGCCAGGGTCAAAGAAGGAGCAGGTTTTCAGGCCAGAAGATCAGAGATTCAAAGAGGTACCCAAGGAGTTTCCAAGCCAGGGTAGGGAGACAGATCCAAGGTCGTAAGCAGGCAGAATCCAGGTAACAGTCCAAAGACAGATCAGGCAAACAGAGCAGAACAGGAAACTAGTCAGGATCAGGTAATCAGAAACATACAGGTTCGCTGGAAAACTCTCACACATGGCTTTAATAATCTGACACTGATGGCTCTACAAGCTTGTCTTTCATAATACAGGCCTTCCTATTGTCTGCTTTTTGGGTAATACTCCTACAAACAAAACAGAAAGATTTTCCCAACAAGCAACCGACCTTGCAGGTACTTACAACTGTCTGTAAAATGTACCCTGTTATAAAAACTATAGCGTGAAGGAGTCCACCAAAATGCATCTGCATCTCTCCATTTCACTCTCCTCTCTGTTTCCTCCTCATTTCTGCATCCTTGTCTGAATGTAGTACTGTAGATGTTTACTCCATTCCATCCCACCAACAGAGATGGGGGAGCAATCCTACACATCCCAATCCAGCTGTTTTAACACCATGGCTCCAGTTAACAGCTGCAGCAGATTTTCCACATTAGGTGTCAGAGCCTCAGTGACACAGGTTTCTCTGGCTCCTGCAAACCAGCTTTGCTTTCTGCATCAGAGGCCTCACCTTCTCTTTTACAAGCTTCGGCACCACCTGCAGTTTCAGCGCCACCTGCAGCTTCAGTGGCAGCTTTTCCCTCACACCAGTTTACAGCAGTGCCTCCGGCAACATGCTTTTCTCCACATCATCCTTGTGGTTTCCATTAGCTGTAGAAACAGCTTTGGCTTCAGAGCAAGTTATTACATTACAGCTTAACCCCTCTGCGATATTCTGTTTTATTAAACTGAATATTTAATGCTTTTTTTAAACTCTCACTGTCAGACACTTACATTTCAAAAACATATTTCTCACAATCTGAAAAAACTCTCCCACTTCTTTTTCTTTAAAACTCATTTAAAAGACAACTGCATTGTGTCTGTTGGTCCCTGTAGAGCTCTTAGTAAGTGAGAATGAGAAAACTGCTTTAACTTTGAGCAGAAATGATACAGAAACAAACAAACAGCAGGCAAAGAAAAAAGGAAATAACTGTGGTACACATTGTTATCTAGTCCAGTGAACAAAAAAAGTTCTTTATGTAATAAACATGTGTCTGAAGGTGCACGGTGGGTGGCCATCAAAATGCTGTCATGATTTATGCTTTCCACAGAAAATAAGACAAGGCTAAAAAATTGTGATTTTGAAAAAACAACAAAAAAAGTAGTCCACAGGTTTTTGATTGAGCTTCTCCTAGATTATTACCTGATGCCTGCAAAACCAAAACCTTACTTATAGCTGCCACAACCATAGCGATGTTGGTTTACACCACAAGCAGCATTTTATCTCTGCCTCTTCACATCTATCAGGAGGGAGGAGGATGCTTTACTTCAGTGTCACGATCAGATCCAATAACAAGCAGGCCAAGGAGAGTCAATCTTCTGTTTCATGCTCCTGCATTTTCACAGCAGGTTATTCATGATCTGCATCTTCAAACTCTTTCCTATTTACTTCTCTTTTTGGCGTCTGTTTGACCAACTTTATTTGGGTTGTTTTTATGATTTGGGGGTAACTTATCGCATTGTCAAAACCCTACTGATCCTCATTTTGAGCTGATTATGTCATTCTAGTTTTGCACTCTAAAGGGATCTGAAAATAGCGCACAGAGGCTAGAATGTTTTAAACATACTTATCTCTATTGCTTTAGCTAGATGTGTAGCTGCTTGTTTGACTGACTGGAAGAATTCAAGCTCCTTTCTATTTAAAGATGTGAAAATGGCAGGTATGAGGAGATGAGAGTGTGATCATCCTCACCTAATCAGCATTTGAGACTTCACTGAGAAGCTGAAAGATGATCATTGATTAAAAAAAAAAAAAAAAAAGTTGATGATTCTGATTGATCTTAAATCACACTCAACAGAAAAAGAGGAGTAAAAGCTAATTCTGATATTTCAAGGTTGATAATGAATTACTAATGCATCAAGGTGTTGCTTAATGGCAGATTGGTCATTGTTGTGAATAGTAAAATACTGTATGTCTTATAGTATAATGTAGACCAAAACAGAATATGATTATCAGTTGGGATTAAATTAAACTTTTTTATGAACCTGAATAAAAAAATCCTTATCACTCCAATGTGTACAGGCATTAGGTCTGGGTTCTGTGGCCCAGGTTGTGACCGGTCAAGGAGTATTTGGACAGTACCTCAGCATCAACCTCGGCTTTGGACTAGCTGTTGCAATGGGGGTTCATGTTGGAGGAAATGTGTCTGGTGAGCAAAAAGACCTTTAAAATGATTGAGAAAGCTTTTGTGTCCATGTGTGGATGACTTCGTTTTTTAACCCTTTTATCTCCTGCCAGGCGCTCATATGAATGGAGCAGTCTCCCTCACAATGTGTGTCTTTGGCCGCCTGCAATGGAAGAGGCTGCCCTTGTATATTTTTGTACAGCTTTTGGGGTCCTTCCTCGGTGCAGCAACAATTTACGCTATTTACTACGGTAAGTCTATAGAGGTCATATACACCAGAGTGCATTATCAGCACTTTTTATTCGTTTTCAGATCAAAAATTATGTGAATTCACTTACAGAGGCCATTTATGACTATTGTGGTGGAAACCTGACTGTTACGGGTGAAAGGGCCACAGCTGGGATCTTTGCCACCTACCCTGCACCATACCTCTCCTTGATTGGTGGCTTCTTTGACCAGGTAGCCATGATATTCAAATCCATTTTAAATGATATCCATCCCTTTTCTTTCTTGAATTGTTCTACAAAAACCTTTATTGTTTCCATAGTCTAATTTGATAATAAAGAGGTTCAAAATATAGATGTTAGAGGAGTTGCTTTAACAGTCTTGAAAATAAAACAAAAGCTAAACGAAATGATCATGCTATGATTTTTTTTTTTGTTCGTACAACATGCTTGTTTTGAGATTTGTTTTCTTTGGTGTTGTTTATAGTAAGTTAAGCCAGTGGATAAGAAATACAATATCATTTAATTGAGAAAAATTGTAAAGGTTATTAAATATTTGGCAACGTGTTAAACACAAAAACTCTTGACTTGTTCTTTAAGCAGTACTAAATATTATAAAGTGCTACATACAGTTATCACGAAGCAGAAGGAAAGGAATTGTGTTGATTTTTACTCAGCATTCCTAAATTAATATATGCTGTGAAAACTGTTAATTTTGGGGGGGCATTTGTTTCTACCATCTTTGCAAACCTAAAGCTTTTGACTACAGCCTCAGTCTCAGTCTGATTGGATGGAGAGAACATGTGAACCTATATTGTTCTTATTTTCTTGTCTGCCTGTCTGTCTATTCCTTTGGGAAATATATATTTATGTAAAAAATTTCTTAGATTTCCAAGTAACACGTATATAATTAAGTACAAAGAAGACCATGACAAAGTGATAGCTTAGCAGGGACCTTCCTACCATTAGTCAGTGGATGGTTATTGTCAATCATACCCAGAACATGTGATCTTTATGTACAAAAAGAAAAGCAAACAACTTCTGGGAGAAAATGACACTTACCTTAGAAAATGAGGTGACAGCCATGAAACCTTACTTAATTTGTGACCTCAGCATGTTTTGTTTTTTATTTGTAATATTCTTTGAATAAGCCAATAAATAGTTTTTATGTCTGCTTTTTTTTTTGGTACTTATATGGCTAAAACGGATCTGATGAAAGCAGAGATAAAAAAAAGACCTGGAAAGTTTGTAACCCTATAAAACTTTAAGTGCTACACCCTTTACATTGAACAATGCACTATCCAGTTGCATTTTATCAATGATTAAACAGATCTAAACCAATGACTATTCTCCTATCCATCTTAAGTTTTTGGTATGCAGATTTATAAATTTTAAACCTTCTAATGTCCATTCTGTATAAAATAGTGTTATAATTGTTTGTGCTGTGTGTGCCAGGTGTTTGGCACAGCCATGCTGCTGCTGTGCCTGATGGCTCTATCCGACCAAAAGAACAAACCAGCTGCTAGAGGGGCTGAACCCATCGCTGTGGGCCTCCTTGTTGTTCTTATTGGAATTTCTCTGGGCAGCAACAGTGGTTATGCTATCAACCCAACAAGAGACATTGCACCAAGGATCTTCACTGCAATTGCAGGCTGGGGATGGGATGTGTTCAGGTAAACAGAGAGGATGTTTATGCAATGCTAAATTAGATTATTATTATTTTTTTTTTGCCTAGTCATCCTAACCTTTTTTTCTAAATTTGGTGTTATTCTCTCTGTAGGTCTGGAAATGGGTGGTGGTGGGTCCCTCTAGTGGCTACTCCCATTGGAGGAGTGCTGGGAGCTGGGCTGTATAAGGTTTTTGTAGAAATGCACCACCCACCGTCCTCTGGACAGGAGATGGAGCCTGACGAAGAAGAGTCTTTCCCGCTGAAGAATAAAAGAAACATCTGTTCTGATGTATGTGTGAAACCAGAAACAAATGGAAACAACTAAACGCTTGTACAGCTGTGGGGATTTGAGGATGCTGCTGCAACCGTCTTAAAACAACACCTGCAATGTATAAAATCACAAACAGATCAATCTATGACTGTTTTTCTGCTTAGTTAGCAATGCTTAACTACACTGCAATTACGATATTTAAAACAAAGATAATTTAACTGCAAAACAGATGATTAAAAAAAGCCCTTCTGTTTCGTAATTAGTTTTTTTTATCTTATGTGAGGAACAGCAGCTTAGGCGAGTTTGGTTAAGCCTTTAAAATAAGGCAAAAAAGAAAATCATACAGCAGTGATCTGGGCCCGAGGTCTTTCATGAAATGTCAGGATATGCAAGGAGAAGTAAACAACTTCTGGAAATAAATAAAAGCAGCAGGAGCCAGCTCCTCACAGTGTTCAAAGGGCAGCAGCACAAGGGAAATAAGTTCAAAATAAAGTTTCTTGCATACATTTCCATCAGTCAAAAGCACAGTTTTCTTACCGATTAGATTTGTTTTTATATGAAGTGTGATGGGTGGAAAAAGATACTTGGGCCTGCTGTAATATTTGATTTTAAGCCTCTCACTTTACCTAATCAACTCTGGATAGGTAAACAAAGCAGCAAAAGATCTACTAAATATAATAAGAGTGTACAAAGTTTAATATCTATACTGTAAAAATGTAGCCTCCATCAGTTGTAAAACTGACAATAATCTGGGGTTTGGCTTATGACAAAATATGTCTTTACATGCAATACGCAGTAAGTGGTCATCAATTGTGCCTCCTTCTTTTTCTCATCTCTAACATTTAGATTTTTCAACCTCTCTTTTATTTCCTTGACCAAAAAATAGCAGCCTGTTCAGGATATAACTGAAGGAATCAAAGTTCAGCTTCTTTACATTATGGAAATGTTTTGAACATGACAACCAGTTGTTTATAGGGACTTCCATAACTTTGTTCATAGTCTGCTGTGAGGAAAGAAAATAAACTTAGGTTGACCAAGAGTTAAACTGGTGGAAACAGTCAACTGTTGTAACACTATTAACAATGTGGTGTCATCTTTATAACTTCTTTACAAAATTAAATGTATGTGATCATCATTTTTATTTAATCTCTGATTATTAAAACTTACAGAGTAAGAGAAATAAACAGTCAGACAATTATTACAGTATATAAAAGAGCACTTTTACTTTTATTTTAGGACTGCTTTAATATAAGAAAGGATTGATTTGTTATGGATCTCTTACAACTAAAAGACAAACATTCACATGAAGTTGGGTTGAGATATTTTTCCTAGGGTGAGCAAACCGCATACTATTAAAATCAGATGTGATTTATTTTGAACCTCTTTCAATATTTGCAGCATATTTTTTTTTTATTGCAGATCATTTTTCTGTTATTTTTTTATATCTTTAATGTTGTCTATTTTGCCATCTTATTTATTTTTCATCCCTGTCAAGTCTTGAGGAAGTTAACAAAATAAGCACCACAGACATTAAGAAGTAGGCTATCCTACAGTGGAAATATGCGGCCACCTAAATGGCATAGTGGTGACATTACTAGAAGACAAATAATTCATGACCAATAAGCAGTTCTTGTTTATCATTTATTGCAACAAAGACGTAAGTCTTAAACTTTTAAAATAAAGGGGGCTACTTTTTTAAAATGTTTTACAGAATTGTTTTAAACATGTTTATACATCAACATTAAAAACAAAAAGTATAGGCATTTTATTCCAAACATAAAAGCAACTATTATTTTAAATTATGAAATATAAATATATAAATTTTACAGCATTTATTTAGTTTTGCATTTGTAATAAAGAAAAAAAAAAGAAATAAGGCAATTTTTTGGAGAAAGTCTGTATTGAAACAAGTGAGTATAGTATAGATTGATATATTTCCTGGCAAAGTTTTAAATATTTCAAAATCCCCTATATCTTTTAAATACAACATTGAATACTAGCTTTTAGTCTTGCTGTTCAATTCCTTGTTAGCATGCTTTGCAAAATTGCAAAACATGCAGCAAACAGCTGATGACAGCTTATTACTTCAAGATGCGTTGGGAAGGTAGACGAAAACAAAACAGCCTGGCAGAAAATGTCTTAGATTGGATTTCAGCGTTTTGCTCCACTTGGTCTTCCTGTGTTGCTTTGTCCTTTAGCAGGGGCTCCTGAGCTGCACGGGGTCGCCTGCTTCTTCTTGGTGGGTGATACCTTGGTTTTACATTTGAAGACTTTTGTGGGATCAAACGTGTTCAGGAAAACGTCCCCAGCAGAATCCTTCTCGCTGAAAATCAGGGGCTTGTAGAGGGCGGCCCACTGCTACAAAAAAACAAACAAAAACAGCACGTTAGAAAATAAACACAAGACGGAGTTACACAGGAAAAAAAATAAAAAAATTCAATAAAATGTTTTAAATTCAGAACAGAGGAAAGAAGACGAAGCATATTCATCTTCTCATTGATAAAGTTCTGCAGAACTTTAATGTCAGGTTAGATCATAAACTTTAAAGATTTAAACTTAAAATTTAAACAAATCATTGAACACTTTTGTTTTAAAAATTTTTTTTAATGAATTTTGGCCAAACAGTCTGTTCAATTTAAAAACCCAATAAAACTGTAGTCAGGGGTTCTAAAAAGTTCGACCTTTTTAAATCCGGATACGTATATGACTATATGTAATTTGCTATCATTATCTGTAAGGAAAAAAAAAAAACAGAATAAATACAAAATAAATAAGGAAACCAGTACAATGCTTCTGAATTAGTTGGTCGTAAATGGTTATTTTACTGCTTTGTTGAGATCAATGTTAGATCAGCACATTTCATTTAATTGATACTTTTGTAACCAAACAGAATTATCCTACATTAAGTAAAGACCCTAAACTTTAAGTATGTGATGGGTGATACCTTATTTCATTTATTTTGTGTAATCATCATAACAAAAGTTAAACTCGGACCAAATTTAGGAACCATAGGTCGAAGTTAAAACCCTGATTTAAGAAAAAAAAAAATGCAAAACTGTCTTATTAATGATTAATGACATAAGAATAAACGACAAATAGCCATTTAATGTAAGAAAAATATCCTTGTATGAAGGAATGTTCAACAACTGGAAGAAGAAAACATGAAACATGACATCGCAGGCAATGAACATTCCTCTACACCTCAACAAATGACAGGACTTTTAAACTGGTCAGGAATGGTGCCAAGAGGTCAACAGCAACACCAACAGCTGCAGGAATTCCTAACACAGCTGCGATCTAAATGTAACAACAACCTATTGGTTTTTCAATATGTCTGGCCTCAGCAACCGGGTCACAAGAGGGATTATTTATCTCAGTATGAAAACAGCCAGGATTTTCCTGAAGGTATGTTTGGAACAAGAAGAGCACTACACATCAGTAAAGTAACACTATACCCCTAGGGGAACATGGGGGTGACAGTGTCATGCTAAGGGGTAATTTTCTCCAGAAAACCAAAGTTTCTTAGTTAGTAACGTTTTTAAATACCCCCAAACATTGAGATGTCTGCTAAAAAATGGAAGACAAAAAGTTTTTTTTCCCCCAGCATCTCAGGGAGCTCAAATACGCATTCCAATCAACAGAAGAATGACCTCATGAAAGGTAATTAAAGGTTTTGAAAAAGACCTTTAAAAAGGTAAAAAGATCAATCAATATCCTTAAATTAAGTCAAAGGGTGCTGTGACAAAACATGTTTAAAGGTGCACATATATGCAACTGGGATGCAACTTTTTTCCAATTAAAAAATATTTTCGTTTTTTAGTGAAATTGTGAAGGTTATCTATATTCTTAAATCATAGATCAGTTTTATTTTATTCATCACAACAAACAGCTATTAGTTTTTACCCATTAAAGAGCCTCTGAAACAATAGTTGACGAAATAACAATGACTTCAAGTACTAATCAGTGATAAAGCAGTCCGTCTGTTCTATTTTAGTTTTCTGTCCTTTGTAACACTTTCCTCTAAGCTTAAAATTAGACCATTTAAATGGTAGTAACATCAAACTTTATAGCATAAACTGTGTGCAAATTAGGTTTTGATGATTGACTTCATTTTAATTTGTACCACATTACATTTTCTCCAGTTACTCCTAATTGTAACCTAGAGTCTATGGAAACTACCTCCTTTGTAGTCATGTAAATATACTCACACATTTCTGCAGTGGCCTTAAAAACTAGAACTGAAACAAGATTTTCCATAAACTGTTGAAACATAAATCTAACTTGAATTTAAATCCGACCAAACTGTTTCTCTTTTAGGTATATTAACAGTGCCTAGATTAATATGATGTTAATTGTTAATAATATTGTAAAATACTGCAAAGTGAGAATTATAGATTACTTTCTTAAGGTGAGAAGTTTAAATACAACATGATTATCTTACGTTTAAAACATCTACAAGTTCAGATGCTGATGATGTCACAGTTTTGTAAGATTGTGATTTACAACATCTGGGTCAGTTGGAGGCACTTATCTGAATGCATTTTGAAGCAACAAAGCAAGCTTCCCTATTTCACAACATGGACAAATCAAAATAAATCAGCCAAGAGCTGTGGACCAAAAGATGTTTCATCCTTTCTTGAATACATTAAGGAGATGGCTCCATGTTAATTTAATTAAATATCTGATTCAAAAAGCAGGTCAAGGTCCAGACAAAGCTGGTAAGAGATCCTCAGCCAGTACAGTGAAACATCCTTTACCAAAGGTGGATGGAAAAGTCAATCAGTGACGCAGAAGCCATTACTCCAAACACACTTGGGGACAAAGACCTTCATTTTTACAACTACACCCAATTAGAAATGAAGTGTTTGATTACAGTGATCGTTTGGAGGGGAAAGGGGGAAGCTTGCGAGACATCAGATACGACCCCAGCTGGGAAGCAGGATGAGGTCATGTGCAGTTGATTTGCTGCAGGAGGGACTCATGCACCTGACAATACATACAGTACATACAGAGTGCATAATGAAGAAAAAAAAAAAATGGAAATATTGAAGCAACATCTCAAGACAACAGCTAGGAATTTACAACTAACTACTCTGCAAAACAGCTTTATGACGACAAAGTAGGGCTTGGGGATATGACCTAGGAAAAAAATCTCAGATTTTAACATTTTTAATTCAATTTACAATTTTTTTTCCACATTCTGAATGTTTTAAAGTATGCCTTTCAATATACAAACCATTTGTTCTAATACAACCACATCTAAATAAACTCGCCGGGAACCTTGTGTGTTGCTAATGTTTACAAGCAGCTTGGCAGAAATGGCAGGGGACATCATCACCTGTAGTTATGATGTCATTTGCTGTTTCATGTGATGCTGTTGCTAGCCTAACTGCAACCTGAGAGTAGAACTGCAGCTAGAGAAATTCTGGGGGGCCAAAAAGGCGTCATTATAAAAAAAAATAAAAAAAAAAATAATTCCATTTTTTCTTTTAAATTGCTTGAAACAAAAAAAATAGAACTAATTAATTTCATAATTTTTTTGACCAGGCCTACAACAAAGTCATTATTATAGTGTTTTTTTCCTTTCTGCATATAAATACAAGGTTTCATTACAGAGAAATCATGTGTACAAAAAAAAAAAAAAAAAAATCAAGATCCATCAAATTTTACCTTAGTTTGGGGGCTTGGGCCATATGGCGTGTAGTTATACTGCCACTCAGGTAGACCCAGGTTTGTTATCATCATTCTGTAGTAGGCGGTAAATTTTTCTGTTAAAAAATGCCAGTACAGCGAGCGATCCAGGAACCAGATTTCACTCTGCTGTGCGACCACCCCTGAAAAACAGCAACATCGACATAATGCAACAAAAAACATGACTGTTTACATACCTTCTTTATGTTTAGCATTTATAAATAGGGTGCAATATTAACATGAGCACCTGGAGTGCAGTTTTTGTAAACCAGACACACTCTTCCATTCCCACTGCAGGAATCCAGCTCATAAATTCGGCTCCGGGCATCAAAATGAGGCATGGACAGCTTAGGCTCCAATCCTAACAAGAGGAGGCATTAATAAACAAGTAAACAAATATTTACTCTCCAGTCAGCGGCTCATTTATTGCCTTAATTCCTGGGTAAATAAGCTCACATAAACAGAGGTAATTGAAAGTGACATGCAGGATTTGTTGAGTGGAATATGTGTACTCATCAGACAGGTGATTTTTTACCATTTTCTGAGCTGTCCTCCTCCCAGTCCAGGTCAGCCAGAGAGGGGGCATCAGGGTCCAGGGAGGAAACGGGCGTGGTCTGAAGTGTGAGCGGGCACAGCCCGTTCACGCTGTTGATCAACATGCAACCTAGAGGGACACACTTATCTGAAAGACATTAAACATTAAGTCAAAAAGGGCTTAATCAGATTCATCCCACACAGAGCGATATTTTTCAATTCTTACTGATATGTTTTAATTTTAGCAAACAACCGATGAAATCCTAAAATATTATTAAACAAACCCTAAAACACAGTTTTATTTTAATGAGATGTTATGTTATAATCTACAAAACTACTGAGAGGACTGCTAACTTGACAGGTGCTGACAGTCGATGATGCCCTTCATTAGGAGAACAATCCACAAAGTTCATTGCTAAAGAAGCTAGCTGTTCATAGAGGGCTACATCCAGACAAATTACTAGAAAATAGTGCGGAAGGAAAACATGTGCTGTAAAGAGTTGCACAAGCAAAAAGACTAATTGCTAACATGGGCTTCAACCGCTGGATTAATTGTGTTGAGTCACTCCTGAAACCCCAAACATCAGACCTCCAGGGTCAAACACGTTTCCATTTCCTCATGTCAGATGAAAAAAGCTTTTTTCTTTATGTCATACTGAAATCTATGCACCACACTGCAAATACAATCTAGAAAGAAGTAAACTTGTCTTAAATTAAGTGTATTTAGCCTTAATTTGATTAGGTAAATAAGATAATTTGCCAATGGAATGAGTATTTTTATTCTTAAAATAAGATAATTAGATAATATTCTGGTGAAGATTCTCAGTCATCTAGGTCATAACCATTCCAAAAAAACTTTAAAAATAAAGTTTGAAGACATTTCGCTTCCCATCCAGGGAGCTTTTTCAATTCAATTGCATGTTTTTTTTTTTTTTTTTTAGCCATAACAAGGCTTCGTTGGGCTACTCTATCAAGCTTGGAACTCAACACCAATCCAGACATTTTGAATTGAATAAGCTTCCTGGACGGGAAGCAAAATATCTTCAAACTTGGAAAACCAATTCCATGTTTTTTTTTTTTTTGTAATAAGACAATGAAATTGTTTCTTCTTATTTTAAATGTGAATTGTCTTACTCCATTGGCAAATATTCTCACCTCCTCAATTCAAGAAATAATGCACTTATTTTAAGAAAACATGGCTTATTTAGATTTACATTTTTGGCAGTGCATAGCATCAGTGTACTGGACTGACCAGAAAAATGAGCTGATTTAACCCCCACAGAATCTATGGATTCTTGTTAAGAGGAATATTTGACACCAATCCTAGTAATGCAGAAAAGCTGAGCACCTAAGAAGCACAAGAGGTCGACCACCTCCATGCAAATGCTTAGTAAACATATTGTACAGTGCATGGACGTACTTCATACATCTGTGTGCCAACAGTTCTGTATTTGAAAAGCATCTGATAGTATAGTTTTCTAAAAAAAAAAAAATTGGCCTAACACACAACCATCAAAATAATTAAGATAAAATGATAAATGTGCAACTAATTTTTCATTTCAAAAACAAAGACATGATGTATCAAGCAGATAAAAGACTAAATTCAACTTACGAACCACGTATTTAATAGAGCAATCAACCTGAATAGTAGGTCCACATTTTACATTTGTGGAGAACCCCCCCCCCCAGAAAAAATACAGTCAAACCAGCTGAAGGACACAATAGTCAAACAAAACATCTCTAAAGGACTTACATAATATACAGTTAAGGAAGCAATCTGGGATTTTTAAGCCCATTTAAACTCCTCAAAGTCCCCAAACAATATGACCTCAACCTCAGAGTGTCTCGATCATATCAATACCCTAAGCCTTGCACTTAACCTGAAGAGGTCTTGGGGCTCCCAATCTCTCTGACAGAAATAAAGTCAGCTGTCCTGGCAATGCATTCCAGCAAATATCCACATCCTTCTGGTTCCCCGGCAGGTTTTTTATTTTTACAAAAATGTATCTTCTCTCTGGAGAGGGTCCTCCTCTAAATCTTTTTATGAGGCCTGCATATCTCTCATTGCAAAAAGGGGAAAAGATCAAACTCAGTTTTCCACCAAGCAAAATATTTCGGTTTTGTGCTAAATTCTTGCTCAGTGAACTGTCAAAAAATGAAATTATCAAAGGCAGACAATCCTTTTTCAACATTAGATGCCTCTTTGACATTATTTATTAGCCATTGTCTAGTGCTCCTATGTGTATCATCTCCCTTGATGCAGAGAAAGCATTTGACCATGTTAAGTGGGACTCCATGTTTAATGTTCTTGGTATTGGCTCGAACTATATTCATTGGGTACAAAAAATGTATTCACATCTTACTGTAGCCATCCATACCAACTTTCGGATATCTAAACCTTTAAGCTTTCATCGAGGAACTTGTTAGGGGTGTCCTCTGGCAATTGAACCTGTTGCCATTGCTTTACGATCTTGTGATAAAAGATCTGGGATCTGCAAAAGCGGCATTGGAACATAGGCTCTCAATTTACGTGGATGGCCTTTTACTTTTCTTTTCACATCCATCTGTTACAGTGTCTTATGTTATGTCTTTTGTTATGATCTGAACCTGAGCAAAAGTGAAATATACCCTTTTAACACTGTGGCACAAGTCTTGGACTTTAACAGCAGGCCTTTTAAGATTGAGAACTCTATATTCTCCTACTTAGGTATTACAGTAATAAGGAGTTATAAGGATCTATATCAAGAGAACTTTGTCTCTCGGGATAAATCAAGTGCTTTCTAGCTGTTCACCCCTTTCTATAACCTTACCTTACCAAGATTTCTATATCTTTTTCAGACCACTCCTTTTTTTTTATTCCTGGACCATTCTTCTCAAGTTGGACGCTCTTATCTCATCCTACTTATTGCATGGGAAAAACGTCCATGTCTAAAAAAATATATATATTAAAAAATCTAAGGCAGCTGGCCGCATTGTGCTCCCAAATTGTATTTTTTTTTGTATTATCAGGCAGCGAACGTGTGTTGTTTAGCATCGATTTCATTTTATTACGAGAAATCAGACGTCCCAGACTGGGTAGAGAAGGAGTGAAGGATCTGCTGGAAATGGTCCACGCTGACCTTTTTGGGATCACGCTTCCATCACAAAAAAATATTGCAAATCCTCCGATGTTGTTTATTAATAAAATGTTCGCTTCATTTCAACAGGTCGGCGGTAAAATTTTATTCCCCAATCTAACTTTTTAAGGTATCTTCAAGCTTGTCATTTTAATCACCTCTAATTTTTCCAATTCCTCTATTTTAATAAATATCAATATTGTTGATCCTGTTCTCTCTCTGGATCATAAGAACAAATATCGCATATTGTTTATCAATAGCACACTATAGGATCTGAGTGATGTTTCCTCAGATAGATTTAAATCTGCTTGGGAAGAAGATCTGGGTTCCCCTATTTCAGAATACTTTTGGACTTCTATATATAGACGTGTAAGCTCTACTTCTTTAAATGCAAGACTTGTCGAATTCAAATCAAGGTGGTACATAGAGCTCATATCTCTAAGTTAAAAAGATTTTTTTTATGTATCCAGATGTCAGCCTGTCCTGTGTGAGGTTCAAATATGTTGATATAAATAGGAGTCTCGTATCCATATGTTCTGGTTCTTCTCATGTATGAACAAGTATTTGATAGAAAGTTTTCAGAGTCTATCACGTTCAGTGGATGTACTTTTAAGCCCTCCCCTTTGATTGTCCTGTCTGGTGTATATGAGCTGTTCTACTCAGTTGAAGGGAGGCATCTCCACTTCTTACGCTCAGTGGCAAGCTGAAATTATGACCTTTATAAAGTAGGAAAAAAAATTCTGATTCTCACTTCAACAGAAATAGTGTCAATTTAGCAGGATTTGGTGACCTTTATTGAAACTATTCCAGTCTATTTGAACACACCAATTACAGCGGAATACTCTTATAGTGGTTCACGGATATAGTAATCAACCACTTACAGTGTTCAAAAGGCTTGGGACGGAATCATTTCTATACAAATGCTGTTTAAATAATTTGTTATAGTAATCAAGAAATCCGGTGATAGTGTTCATTTTTGGCCATTTTATGAATGTAAACATGTGCAAAAATAATTAATATGTGGATCGAAAGTGATGAAAGCACTCCGGTGTCGGATGAGGATATCATTGCGGAGGTACAAGAGTGCTTTGGTGTGGGTACCAGTGCTGCGTGCAGCGAGGAGGATGAAGAAGAGACTGTTGTCACTTCCACAGCTGAGATGAAGAATGCAGTTTCCATTTTAAAGACTGGTCTTCTGCATGTTGGTTTCAAAAACTTCAACCTTTGACATCGTTTTGAAAAAGATGTGAACTTGGTCTTGGACAACACTCTGATCCAGGGAACCATTGATAAATATGTAAAGTGATTTCTTAATGCGGCGCAGCAGATCCGCAACACAAAACAGAGTTATGTAAGCTTTAATTTTCTGTAGCCTATGCAGTTATCTTCTATGTTGTTGTTTTATGAAACCGTTTGTTTCAAACTTTTAAAAAAATGCACCAGCGGCACCAGGCTACCAGAGTTATGTCTGGGCATAGCGCAGTATACTGCAATTAAAGTTGCATGGTACTCCAATAAAATTCAGCACATACGAAAGCTATCCGTTTAATTTAATTTTTCTCATTGAAAAAACACACAAATGGGATTTAGATGATATTCTGCATAAAAAATAAGTGAAAAAACTGTAAAATCGGATATAGTAATCAACCGCTTATGCTGTTCAAATTGGCTCTGGACCAACAGTGATCCCTATGAGCGGATTCCACTGTACCATAATTTATTTTATTAGTTATTTTTTTGGTTTTGCCCTGTCATTAAAAATCAGTTTTTAATGGTTTATGGCAGGGGTTTATCTGATATTGCTTTGGATTTTTTATGGCATACCCTCTCTTCTTCTTATAACCCATTTTGTTCTGTCTTTTTGTTTTCACTAATGCTTACATGCAAATAATCATACTTTTTATCATTAAAATCAATAAAATATATCTTGATTGTAACTTACAATCAATTAGTATTTACAGTTTATTATTATTTGTTTATTATACCCAAAATTATAATTGGATTTTAGATTATTGTAATATGTAATATGTTAGAATGGTCATGGCTAGGGGCCCAGCTACCTACCATCCATTTTAACACTCCAGGTTAATGTGAAGCCATCAATGGTCAGATAGAAGTTTCGCAAATCCTCTGGTAAAATGCATGAGTTTGTCTGAGGGAAGAATCAAGACGATGCATACATTCAACACAACGGCAAAACGTTTTTCACTAAATTAAACTGGAGGGGCAGTTTTAATTCTACCTGCTCCCAGGACAGGAGGGTCTCTTTTTCTGCAGGGTCCCTCTCTGCGAAACGTACATCCATCACCCATGGCATTTTCTCTGGACCAAAAAGGACAAAACAATGTTTGATGCTAATACCACATTTCTTAAAAGATAGTAGCTACATAAGTAGCTAATGCATATAACATGATACACACCGAGTATTTTAATAATTCCCAGGGTTAGCCACTCCGTCACACCTTTCGAAACAAACGCTTCTTTTTTGTCCTCCATTGTGACAGTTAATGGATATATGTCAGCATAAATCTATCAAAAATATTCGGTATTGTTGCCTCTGCGTCTAGTTGCAGCTGTGTTATTAACTTAAATGCAGAAAGGCAAAAGGGGAGGTTAGATGAAAAACGGACACATTTTTTAACCAATAGGAAAGTCATATCGATGTAGTTCACCCTATCAAGTTCTTAGTTGAAAAAAGGGGGCGGGGCTACCATTCCTTAGCAACGCTTGGCTCCCTGGGAGTGGTGGCGGTTGTTTCAATATGGCGGCGGCAGCGAAGAGAAGTGGAAATTCGAGGATATTTTGGATGAATGGCGGTAAATGCACATTCATTTGACTTTCTACGCTTCACCGAGTATTTTGCGCTTGTAAAATGTTCGCAAATTGATGCATGTTTGAAATTTATTTAGTTTTACGTTTTCTTTTTCTATGAGCAGTCAGCAGGAAAATTCAATTCAGTGAGAGGAAGTGATAGCCTCGTGAGACCATCCTGATCTCGCGAGCTTTCAAAGAAGCGAGGCAGCAGCTGGCTTCTTCATTTGGATAGATTAGTTTGTGTCAGTTTAGTTTCACATTTTTTAACGATTTCAATAAAAATAATTACGATAATGCTCACTATAGTTGTTTGTACATCAATGCTTAAGAGCATCTAGTAGTAGAAGCAAAGCTAATGTAATGATATATAAAATAGTATACAATCCCACGTTTTAACTTTATTATTGAACTATAAGCTTCATTTAGCTATTAACTTCTAAACTCTAACAACTTGAACATATAGTTTAGCTATTTAAACCAGCTAAAATCATCTGTTGTACTTATGTTTCTCTATAAAACAAATCCCAGAAACAAAATAATTGACATTGTAAGCACCAGAATACTGTTAACTTTAGCATGATTATATTTTCCGAATCAAAATGACAAGAGATTAATGTTGTAGATAAATATGTTATATTTGTAAAGGTCAGTATTATGCATCCTGTCCAATCAATCCAATTTTATTTGTCAAGTGCTTTAATGTTATAAATATGCTGCATTTTAATGTTCAATATTATGCATCCTATGTAAACTATCCAATCCAATTTTCCCTTTAAGCACTTTTAAAACAACAGCTGATAAAGTGCTGTAGAAAAAAAATATATCAGGTAAGAGACAAAAGGGCTCAAGTATGGGTTAAAGCAAGATTCACCCAATATCAAAGCAATAAAATTAGATAAAAAAAGACAAAGGATAAAATAAAGCTTGCTGTCTTGCTAGGTGTAAAAAGGCAAAGGGAAACCAGGTTTTCTCAAACGACAAAAAAAAAAAAA